TCTATAACCTGCTTCAGAGATCAACATCTAGCTTTGACTGGAACATATATGGCAAAGGAGCGCTTACTCACGTGTTTATTGCTAGGCAGCAATAATTTAGGAATCTTCTTCCTTATATTGGGTTATTATCTGCCCCCACTAGATAAATGTCAGCCACTGACCCTATTGCTGCCCTCAGGAGCTACATAGATTAATTTTATTTAATTTTCCAGTCTTTTAGGAATTCAAAGGCAGCCTCTCTTGTCATCTCTTACTTTTCTCTATGCTAAACATTCCAGTTTCCTCTACAAATTCCTCTAAAATAGTGATTTCATGAGACCACTTTTAATCTCTAATACCCTCTTCGGTGGCCTTCTTGAAATGCAAAGCCCGTAACTAGGCAGCATAATCCTGAAAAAGTCTGACCAGTACATGGTCAACACACAGACAGCAGTTCCTCTCTTAAACTGGTGGCTCTGCTGTTAGGAGTGCCACCAACATTGACCAGACCTCTGTTCTTAGAAACAAGTGGCGCTGGTCGGGTAGTGTTGAAATTATGGTCACCTAAATATAATAAATCTAGGTTGCCCTCATTCTCTATTTTTTTAGAACCAAAATGCCGATTCTAAAAACAAATGCATATTGGCATCTACCTTAAGTATTTAGGCTCAATATTCCAGCTGCTGAAAATTTTTTGCAATAGTACTTACGTCATTTATTGTGTTATGTTTCCTTCCAAGTAATAAGCCTGCCTTCTTTTGCTCCAAAACAGTTGATAAAAATTTTAGCCTGTGGTCTGCCAAATGTAGCTTCCCTCCATGGATTCATTATTTGTAATCCTTCACTCAGTCACTTTAACTTCATCCAACCCACATTTAACCATCTGATCTACAGAATGTAGAAGAGCATGAGTATTATGTTCTGCTTAGGAGGGAGGATTGGAGGGGGAGGGGGGAGGCAACATTTATTTCTTTTCTTTTTTCCTCTTTTACTCAATCTACTTTCTTTCCCTTTAATTCTATCTTCGTCATTCCTTCACGTATCCATAATGCACTTTATGGTCCCTTTTCCTGTGTGTATTTTATGCTATAAAGGAAAGAACCTCCATTGTCTTTTTGGGGATTCCTGTGTCTTCTGCCTGTATGCCACTGGGCTGAGTCTATGCTTGCTCCAGGAGGCCCTTTGCCATGCACCAATCCCCAGCCCCTGAGCAGGTGGAGTGTATTCCTACATGCTCATTAGTATTCTGCAGAGGAATTTCATCAACAACCCCAGACTGATTTACTTTTCTCCACCTCCAGAGTTACTCAAACACCAAATGAATTTTTAAAGAAAAGTCACAGACAAAGTATATGCATGTTTAGGGATGTGGGGTGAAGTGTGGAGACAAATTATTAGACAGTCCTCAGCAGACTTCACACTTTAGTCTCAGCATTATTGCATCAATAACAAAATGAATATTGCTGATAAAAACTAGAAAGATCGACCTATAAGCTATTTCAAAACACAAATTAACCAACCATCCATTATCCAATTGCCAAGATGGAATTAGTGTAAACTGCTTTGGGAATCAAGGATTTATGGTAGATGTTCTGTCACTAGCTCCTGCCTCATCAAAGCCTTTTTCCTCAAAGTAGTTCATATCACAACTACATGGACTAAGAAGAAAACTGTCCAAAGTTCGTCCAAGTGAGTGATTTTACTTGAGAGATGGTATGGCATTCTTATATAACTTTGTGACCATTATTATCATAAAATGAGTTAAATATGGACCAGGGTAAGCAAGTAGATCTATATTCAAGTGTAGGAGGTGGCTGATTAATGGTTTAATAAATTGGATACTTTGATTACTGATTTTTTTTTTTTTGATGTGCACCCTCTTGATATATGAGGCTAATCAAGCATTAGGTCATTAACCCTTATCTAAAGAAAATGGTCTTGAACACAACTTTATCACTTCATAATTACCTTGTGGCAGAGAGGGATGTGCTCTGGAGTCAACTGATCCTTCGCAAACCCTAGGGAGACACAGACAACCTCAGCTCAGGAAAGACAGTGGCAGGTGGCTAAATAATAACTGTTCTTTAGTATTTCAGAGGGAATTCCAAGATCCTCTGAACCAGGTTAATTTGTACACTAAACCTGTGATATATTCTAGAGAATGATAGGAAACTCTAAGTCAGTATCCAAAAAGCTAATGGTAAGAATGAGCTGGGGCCTTGTGACAATGAGACTGTATGAATCATTCATTTAGTCATTCAGTAAGTAAGTATATATTGAGGAACTCCGATGCATGAGAACTTCTCTTAGAACCACATAGCCTTTATAATTTTGAACAAATCACTTCTCTGAGTCTAAATTTTACCATCTAGGAATTTCCTCACGGAGTTGTTCTGAGGTTTCAGTGACTCGTGTATGTAAGACTCTAGCAGAGTGACTGACTGGATGCTCAATAAACTCCCTTCCCTGCTCCTTAACATTTAAACTTCTTTTTTCCGATGTACTTTATTATAATATGGAGTAAATTCCATTTCTTAATAACAAATTTCTCTCTATAGTCTTGGATCAGCAGGAATTGTGAGTAATCTATGTTTGTAGATGAAATTAAAGTATTTAAATATTATTACAACTGATCAAATATTTTTGTAAGACAAGCCACCAAGCCCAAGGATGTCGTTCTTTGCCAAATAGCACACTGAAATTTGTTGACTGCAGTACATGCAAATCCTCACTTTTCTTGAGTCTCTTTGTTTCATAGCAAACATGAGCTGTGACTTTCTTTTCTCTTTCAATTCTAACTGGAGTGTTTTGGTAATATTTACAAAATCTAGTAAACCAGCTTTCTAAAATACAAAATACATATAACATTTTCCAGGTTAATTATCTCTGTATGCATGGAGTTCAACAGATTCAAGTGAAATGAACAATAATGTAGATTGGGTGTGGTTGTAGTAGTTGCTTTCTGATTATACTCAAAATCTGAATTAATTTTGCAAAAACAAAACAGAGGATACATTACTATGGAACTGTCAAAGGCATATACCATATTGTTTGTTTCTTCATCACTTCAGTCAATCGTTTAGGGAATAAATATTAATGGTATCTACTGTTTGCTGGACACTGTGCCTAGGACTCCAAATCAAAGCTGCACCATCTCTGACATCAAGAAATTTGCTCTAACAACACACACTACAGGGGAAGTCAGCACAACTGGACTGAACCGAAGCTAAGAAGTTTCCTGAATACAATCAAATACTTTGAGAGACAGAGTAGCAGGGGTAGGAGTCTGGGGACCATGCTTTCAGGGGACATCTAGGTCAATTGGCATAACAAAGCTTATTAAGAAAATGTTCTGCATCTTACTTTGGTGAGTGGCTTCTGGGGTCTTAAAAGCTTGCAAGTGGCCATCTAAGATGCATCAATTGGTCGCAACCACCTGGAGTAAAGGAGAATGAAGAACACCAAAGACACAAGGAAAGTATTAGCCCAAGAGACAGAAAGGGCTACATAAACCAGAGACTTCATCAGCCTGAGACCAGAAGAACTAGATGGTGCCCAGCTACCACCAATGACCTCCCTGACAGGGAACACAACAGAGAGTCCCAGATGGAGCAGGAGAAAGGTGGGGTGCAGAACTCAGATTCTAGAAAGAAGACCAGACTTAATCGTCTGACTGAGACTGGAGGAACCCCAGAAAGCACGGCCCCTGGATTCTGTATCAGCCCAGAATTAAAACAATTTCCGAGGCCGACTCTTCAGACAGGGATTGGACTGGACTGTGGGACATAAAGTGATACTCGCGAGGAGTGTGCCTCTTAGTGAAGTAGATACAAGAGACCAAAGGAGCAGCTTCTGTCTGGAGGTGAGATGGGAAGGCAGAGAGGGTTAGGAGCTGGTTGAATGGTCATGGGGAATCGGGCGGAAAGGAGGAGTGTGCTGTCGCAGAATAGGGGGAGCAATTAGGGTCACATAACAATGTATTCTATAAAATTTTGTATGAGAGACTAACTTGAAATGTAAACTTCATTTAACTACAACAATAAAAAAAAGAAATCAAGAAATTTGCTCTAATGAGGAAGAAGACATGTAAACAAATGCACTTCTATTAGGTAATTGGTAATTAGGTAATTCTATTAGGTAATAAGATGATTCAAGAGCAGGGAGGGTACCTGAGAAAGACCAGTGAAGTCAACTTGGGAAACTGGGGAAGCATCACAGAGGAGGCAAGTTGAGACGGGAAGGATGAGTGGGAGATTGCCAGGTGGGTAAGTAGGATGAAGATGTTTGGCAATGACAACAGAATGAAGAAAGCACAGAGGCCTGAGGGAGCCTGGAGTGGCCAGGGAGCAGGGAATGAACATGTGAAAGCATAAATTATTGTAAGGGGAGGAGCAGGAAGAGCTGCTAAGAAAGAGCCCTAATAGGTAGACAGAGACCAGATCCTATGAAGCTTGTTATCACAGGCAAAGGTACATGAATTTTTCCCCTCTCTATAGGTTGTGAAGGAAGTTATTGAAGAAGTTTGAGTAGAGAAGTTCCATGATCAAATAAGCATGTTCAGATCCCTAAAGAAGACTAACAATATTATGATCCTTTTGTTGTTTACAAGCTCCAGAAATGGCACACACACAAATTATAGGCCTTTTTTCTCTAGGAGTTTCAATGGTTCTCATTGTAATAGAGCTCAGGAATGCCAAAAGAAATATTTGAAGTAAATGACATTTCAGAATTACAGTAGGAGCCTATGAGCAGATTTTTAGTTAACAGGTTTTTAATAGGCTATGACGCAATTCTTAATGGAGAAGATTTAACTATAAAAGATAGCCTGCCTCTAATGGGAATTCGGCCGGGTATGTTTTTTATTGCTGGGTGAATTCAAAGGATTACATTGTTGAGATTCTTGAAGAAAAAAACACACACCAATGAAAACTTTCTACTGCTTTTCTTTAGTTCTTACAGCAAAACAGTGACTCTGCCAGAAATAAATTTCACTTAAATGACCATAATTTTTATAATTTCAGGGGTTAAGCATCTGAAAGGCCAGAATGAATCAGCATTCCCTGAAGAAGAGGAAGATGTAAAAGAAAGAGAGGAGCAATGGGACCATTAATTACATATCTGCAGCAAGAAAGTTTCTTGGAAATAACAGAACTGGTAACTTTTCTGAATATCCCGTGGAACTCCACTCCAGAAGTATTCTCCATATTTGCACTCCACTCATACAGTAGTAACACACCTTCTGGGAAGCCCTCCTTGACTGAACTTTAGAACTAAGTACAAATTCTTCCATATTACTTATAATTAAAGAATAAGCCTTTATTTTACAGTGACTTTTCTTTTTCACTGATTAGAAATTTCCAAACATGTGTGTTCTAACTTTAAAACTGCCACAGCTTAACCCTTGATATCCTAATGATATGGTTTGCCTTCTAAGGCCAAATGTAAATAGCATCACTTTAAGAGTAAAAAATAAATATTAAATACATTTAGACATGAGTGTGTGTCTGGGTTTAACTGAAAGAGAAATATTTAATGAAAAGTGGATTTTAAAGTTAAGATCAGCATTTATCATGTTTCTGTATACAAGAACGGTATGCAGTATGGATTCCAAAATGATGAAGAAATACCAGATTTGTTGGTGCAAAAGACCACATTATATTAGATTTTGAGTATTAAACATCTCTTTCCCTCCAGCAAGACATTAATATTTACTTAAAGAGCCACAGAATTCGCTCCATTTTCTAAGCTGTGAGAGATATATTGTCCAGCATTTCTACTCTTCATTAAGGGGGGAAAAAAAAAAAAAGCTAAATCTAAAAGAAGAAAAGAAAGGCCCAGCCCCTTGTTTTGGGAGTACTTGAAACATGGGCCATCTATTTCCAGTTGCTGTTTAATGAATCTTTAAAAACATACTCGCTGCGGTTGAGTCGATTCCGACTCATAGCGACCCTATAGGGCAGAGTAGAACTGCTCCGTAGGTTTCCAAGGAGCAGCTAGTAGATTTGAATTGCCTACCTTTTGGTCAGCAGCCAAGCTCTTAACCAATTAGCACTTTATAAATCTTCTCTATCATAAAATAAAAAGTTTATTAATTCATGCATATATTCACTCATTCATTAATTCAACAACTATTTTTTATGAAATTTTCCCTAGAAAGGCACTCTGCTGGGGGTTATGAAAATGAAGGAAACATCATTTCTTCTCTATAGACCTGGCAGAGAACATAAGGCATCAGTAAAAAGCAAAGTTTTCCAAGACAGTATGTATTTATCAAGTACAGTTTTTGTTAAAGTTCTGGCTTTCTGAACAATATTGATCGTTTATTCACTGATTGCAAAGTACACCACAAAATTTAGTGGGGATGTCTCTGAGGTTCACCGTTCCACCGGGGAGTGGACAGCCCCGTAAAACCAAATGGGACTAACGAGGTACAGGAGTCCAGTGACAAGGGCCAGAAGGCAGAAGGGGACAAGGAAGCTGGTGATAGGGAACCCAAGGTTGAAGGATATTGTTGATGTGTTGTGAGATTGTTAACTATTGTCATAGGGCAACATGGGTAGTAACTGTTAAATGAGAAACTATTTTGTTTTGTAAGCCTTCATCTTAAGTGAGAATAGCAGCACAATTGGAAGAGCGTAGTCAATGTCACTGAACTGTGCATGTAGAAATTTTTGAAATGGTGTATCTTTGGCTATGTGTATTTTCACCAAAAAAAAAAGATTGAGAAGTTAGAGGGTTGACATGTTGTGGGGTTGTTAACCAATGTCATAAAACAATATGTGTACTACTGGTTCATGAGAAACTATTTGTTCTGTAAGCCTTCAGCTGAAGTACAATAAAAAAAAGAAAAATTTAGTGGGGATGGAGGAATGCCCAATTTGTTTTCCACATGGATGATATTGCTGAGGTTCAACTGTTTCACGGATTAAAAAAATGAAAAGATTTCTCAACAGCCAGTAAAGAGGGAAATTAAGACAGGATGAAAAAAAAATGTGAATCCACCGTGGGAACTTTATATTAAGATTCAAAGAAGTAAAATGCTTATTTTTAAATGTGAATATGAGTATTATAAAATAGAGATTAAGAGAGTAGTGTGCTGCAAATGGTTAAACGCCTGGCTGCTACCGGAAAGGTTGGCAGTTGGAACCCACCCAGAGGTTCCGTGGGACCTGGCGAGCTGCTTCCGTAAAGACTGCAGGCAAGAAAACCCTAATGGGCAGTTCTACTCTGACACATGAGGTCGCTTTGAGCCGAAATCGACTTGATGGCACCTAACAACATAAGAGAATACACCCCCTCCCCATAAAAAAAGAAAGAAAGAAACCGTTGTCGTCTAGTCGATTCCTACTCCTAGTGACCCTATAGGACAGACTTCCAAGGCTGGTAGATTCAAACCGACCACCTATTGGTTAGCAGCCAAACGCTTAACCACTGCGCCACCATAGCTCCGTAAGAGAATACAGTAGAAATAAAATCATTTTCCTTAGTATATTTTCCCGGAAAAAATACATGCAAAACGCATGGCGGAGTAGTACCACAAGTATGAATGAGTTACTCTATTTCCACGCTTCTCCCCTCCCTCCCTCCTTCCCTCCTTCCTTCCTTTCTTCCTTCCTTCTCTTCCCTCCTTCCCTCTCTCTCTCCTTTCCTCTCTCCCTTCTTGTCTGTCTTTCTTTTTGAAGTTTCCAGACCACTTGCTATGGCTGTTTGTTTGATTACCTAAGTTTCTCTTTACTTAAAATCTGATTAAACCACATATTTGGTTTAAATGGTTTTGAGTTATTTGTGTTTGGAAAACATCCAGGCACCCCTTGAAATTATTTGAGACACCCTAAAGTGCTAAAAAAAATAAAATTGCCCCTCCCTTTCCTTTAACAGACACTTTCATAAATGTTTTTTAGCTGGATTCAGACAAACAAAAAGAAACTGAAGCTTTTGCTGATTTTGTAACAGCATTTGGGGAAATTAAAACACCATGTTTTCTGGATTCCTTTATTGTTTTCCACTCTCAAAATACAAAGAGATCAAAACTGAAAGCTTAAGTTTTCCTTGGGAAATGTGTTGGCTTTCTCAGAAATTTGAAGGAAACCAGCTGAGATAATGGCTTTTCAGTTTCCTTTTTTCACAAAATTACAGTTGGAAACAAGTCCCCCCCACTACCCGCAAGGAGACAATTTGGCTTCAGTTTGGCTGAATGAGCAAAGAAATGTTCTGACCAAACCTAAACAGAAACTTTATATTTCACAGACCACATTTGTAGTATAATGTAATAATTAGTAGATGGGCTTTGAGTCACCTTGACTTGGATTTGAATCAACTTCTACCAAATTTTAGACTCAGTTCTCCACCTATAAAATAGGGACAATCATGCCTACCCCACTGGATTGTTGTGAGAATTCAATAAGATCTATAAAATGCTTACCTAGCTTTGTGCGTACTCAATAATTTGTATCTATTACTATCATTAAGGGGCAGTGGTGGTTCAGTGATGGAATTCTTGCCTTCTGTGTGGAAGACTCGGGTTTAATTCCTGGCCAGTGCACCTGAAGCGCAACCACACCTGTCTGTCAGTGGAGGCTTGCATGTTGCTATGATGCTGAATAGGTTTCAGACTAAGACAGACTAGGAAGAAAGGCCTGGAAATCTACTTCTGAAAAATCAGTCAATGAAAATCCTATGGCTCACAACGTCCAATTCTGTTGTGCATGGGGTGGCCATGAGTCAGGGGTCAACTCCACAGCAGCTAACAACAACAACAATATTATTACTGTTAGACTTATAAAGGACCTCAGGGGCCATCTATCCAACCATCATTTTATGTATTATCCTCTTCAACATCACAGACAAGTTATTATTCAATAACTCCATCTGCACCCCAAACCAACCAAAAAACTCTAATTGTTCTTCCTTATGTTAAATTTTCTCTTTCCCTATACAATCACCTTTTTTTTCCCCACCTTTCAAATCTCCAGAATAAGTTTAACTCCTTTCCCATATTACAGCCATTCAGATATCGAAGAATGCTTTAATGCCAACTCCTAAGTGGTCTCAACCCTGCTTTAAAACATCATCAGTGCCTCCAAACATTTTCTCATCATCCTGGCCATTTGCTTCTGCATCCTCTTCAATTATTTATTGCTGAATGTAAGAAACGTTCTGTCAGGTGGATAAACTAGAGATTATTTTCTTTTCCCTCAATACATGAGCAAACTGAAGCATAGAGTGTAGTAGGGCAGGTTAAGATTCTAGGCCAGGGTTCTTCCTATCGTACAATAATTTTGTGACCCGTTTCTCTTTCTTCCCAGAGTTGTCCAGGGTAAGAGTCTTTATAAAAAAACAAAATTCTCTAACTAATTTATGTTCTTAAAAAAGTTCACTATTGACTTTTACTTTTAATTCAATATATGCCAATGCTTTCTAAATTGTGGAAAACAAGATGATTTTAAGTTGTCCATGGACAGATTACTTTTCTTTGTATACAGGCAGTCCTCGGATTATGAACAAGTTCTGTTCCTAAGTCTGTCTTTAAGTTGAATTTGTATGTAAATTGGAACTGTTAGGTATGGTTTGTATGTAACGTTGATTAGTCAAATGTTTGTCTTAGGATACAGTGTACCTTTCTATGTATAAAAAGCATTAAAGAAACACTTCCAGATACACTAAAACATCTTTAACATAATAATACAGTAATAATGTTTTGAAAATGATTTTATCTCTACTGTATTCTCTTAGGAGCTATGGTAGCACCCATTTGTTATTACAAACCATTGTATGTACCTCGAATTTTTAATATAATAGGCTTTATGGGGGTTGGTTCATAAATACAGGTGGTATGTAAGTTGGACGTTTGTAGCCCGGGGACTTCCTGTATTGGAAAAATACATAAACAGCAATCCGTGATTTTGTAGCTATTATGGCTTAGCTGCGGCAAGTTTAAAATGTGAATATATTTAAAGTCAATTTAAAGAAAAATATTAAATAACTGTAGTAGAAGTGATATCCAAAAATCACAAAAGTGATATCCAACTGACTGAAGTTTTGAAAGCTCTGCTTCTTGGATATTGCCATAGCAAATAAGTGTAAGTATTACAGAGTTCTTTAAAAGCTATATGGATATAAGAATTCATAAATAAACCACTTATATTGCATTAATGAAAAAGGAAGGTTTTATCTGTTTTTTCACCCAGATCTAAAAGCAAACAGTTTTTAAGCAAGGACAAACTGAATAGAAAAAGCATGTCTACCTACATTAAAGTGTTTATGTTCATATGTACTTCAGAGTGCTGGTTTTTTCTGAGGAAGAGAAACAGGGGAAAAATGCCCTCACTTATTTTTTAAGTCTCTGATTCCAAAAACCAGTCTACAATGCCCCAGCAGGTATATTAATTAATAAAAATGTCTATGTTGCTGAAATGTTCAATCCGTTAAAGAAATTAAATTCTCAGATCTGATAACATCGTAACATTCTGAAAAAATCTAAATATCAGAGAAAGAGCAACTTTGGGAAAACGATGGAGGGGGCATATTTGGTTTGAAATGATATGGTAAGTAATTAACACACTAACCTTCATAAACATGCTACAGAAGTCACATTGCCACACAGATAAGCATATGCCATGTCAACTAAATGCAATGATCC